GGACCTTGTTGGTCAGCCTCAGGAGGAGGAAGTGGCTAAATAAGGGAATAGATATTAGAGGCTAGCTGTAGGAATATAATTCAACAATGTTTAACAAGGGGAGAAAGGTAAAAGGCAAGACCTGTTAGCACCATGTTTGCCACATTTGAGCCTGCTAGAGCCCTTCACCAACAATGGTGGATATGCCATTTATCATATTTTCCAGCTGCCTATGGTTTGATAGAGGCTGGAAGAGAACCCAAGATTATGAGAGAAGAGAAAAAGGACTGCCCTATGCTTACCATCATAGCAAGACCCAGGGTGTCCCCACTTTTTTTGTGTTCCTCAAGTCTTACTTTCAGTAGGGAACACAAAAAGGGACAGGTGAGAGCCATCCATGCAGAAGGAGAACCTGAACTTAGGGAAATGTCTTAGTTATGTTTCTGTTGCTGTGATAAGACACCATGACCCACTTGTAAAAGGGAGTGCTTATTTGGGGCTTATGGTTTCAGAGGATCCATTATCATCATGGAATATGGCAACAGTCTTGACAGGCAGGCATGCCTCAGAGTAGTAGCTGAGAACTTGATCCATAAGCACAAGGCAGAGTAGGAATAGGAGCGAGCTAAACAGGATGCAAGTGCTTTTAAAACTTTAGTACCCAATCCTCAGGGACACCTCCTCTAATAAGACCACACTTCCTAATGTTGTAATTTAAGAAAAGCAGAACTGGAGAGAAAGAAGCCATGAACAGGGTTCAAGCAGAGGGGTTTTTTATTAGGGAAAGGGATCATAAAAAGGGAAGGGGGAAACTGGCCTCCTCCAGGGACAGGAGCAGCAGGAGAGAGGAAAGGGGGGGACACAAACAGACAGAGAAAAGAAGAGAGAGAGAGATGAGGATGAGAAGTGGACAGGACCCTTTTAAAAGGGAACATAGTGAATGTGCACAGGTGGTGCTCTTAGTGGCAGCAGCTGAGGGTGTATCCTGTCAGGACCCCAGGGGCAGGCCAGTACAGATGCCTGAATACTAACACCTAATCCTTCTCAAACAGCTCTACCAACTGGGGACCAAGTATTCAAATATAAGTCTATGGGGGCATTCTCATTCAAACCACCACAGGAAGCTAAATCTTTTACAATGTTCAGTAAGAAGGTCCACCTTTTGTCCCCCAGGGACATTACCCAACTTTCAAAGCTCTCACTCTGTGAGTACTCTGTTCAAAGAGCAAAGGGGAAATCTGTGCTTTGCTCACAACATGTGTGGTATGCAGAAATATGAGAGCCCCCTGGAGAACTGTGAGACAGAGAACGCTCAAAGAACACCACAGGAACGCATTCAGAAACTAGATGGCCAGGGCTTGAAACTACCATCTTAGAAAATTTCATGTGGACCATACATAGAGGCATTTAGATCTTGTGAATATGTGTCTTAAAGTTCCCATTTCGGCAATGAAATACCACGACCAAAAAGCACATTGGGGAGGAAAGGGTTTATTTGGCTTACATTTCCACATTGTAATCCATCATTGAAGGAAGTCAGGACAGGATCTCAAACAGGGCAGGAACCTGTAGGCAGGAGCTGATGCAGAGGCCATGGAGGAGTGCTGATTACTGACTTACTTCTCATGGCTTGCTCGACCTTCTTTCTTATAGAACTCAGAAACACCAGTCCAAGGATGGCACCACCCATCATGAGCTGGGCCCTCCCTATCAACCACTGGTTAAGAAAATATCCTATAGACTTGCCTACAGTCCAATCTTTTTATTTTATTTTTTAATTTTAAAAATTTTTAGTTCAAATTAGGAACAAGCTTGCCTCACATGTCAATCCCTTCCCCCTCCACTCCCCCTATCCCTCCCCCTCAACCCCTCACCTACCCTCCCAACCCATCCATCCTCCACTCCCCAGGCAGGGTAGGCTCCCCAAAGTCCACCACATCATCGTGGCCCAGGCCTAGGCCCTTCCCCATGTGTCCAGGCCAAGAGTGCATCCCTTCATGTAGAATGGACTCTCAAAGTCCCTTCTTACACCAGGGAAAATGCCAATCCACTACCAGGGCCCCCCTAGAGTGTGGAGGCCTCCTCATTGACATCCATGTTCAGGGGTCTAATTCAGTCCTGTGCTGGTCTCCCAGACAGCAATCTGGGGTCCATGTGCTCTCCCTTGTTCAGTCCAGCTGGTTCTGTGGCTTTCACCAGCCTGGTACCAACCCCTTTGTTCTTCATTCCTCCCTTTCTGCAACTGGGTTCCAGAGTTCAGTTCAGAGTATATCTGTGGATGTTTGCCTCTGCTTCCATCAGCCACTGGATGAGGGCTCTAGGATGGTATAAAGAGAAGTCATCAATCTCATTTTAGGGGAAGGGCATTTAGGGTAGCCTCTCCACCATTGCCTAGATTGTCATTTGGTGTCATCCTTTTAGATCTCTGGAAATCTCCCTAGTGACAGATCTCTCCTCGGACCTATAATGGCTCCCTCTGTTATGGTATCTCTCATCCTGCTCTCCTCTATTCTTCCCCCAACTCAACATTTCTGGTCCTCCATTTCCTCTTCTCTCCTCCTCTCATTCTGGCAGCTCCCTGTCCCCTACCTTCATGCTCCCAATTAGCTCATGAGATCCTGTCCCTTCCCATTCTCTGGGGTCCATGCAATTTTCTCTTAGAGTCCTTCTTGTTTCCTACTTTCTTTCTATAGCCCAATCTTATAGAGGCATTTTCTCAATTGAGGTTCTCTCCTCTCAGATGACTTTAGCTTGGGTCAAGTTGACATAAAACTAGCTAGCACATTATGTAAATAAATGTTTAATTCTTAAGGAGATGTAAACTCAAAAATCCCATGAGAAGGAAGAGCCTGAGTAATTCAATCTCAGAATGATAGTAAGTCAAGGATTTTTTTTAAATGCATGACTAAAATGTTTAAATCAAGATTAATATAGAAGTGAATATTTTACATTGGTATGGATTTGATTTATTGATACAAATTTAAGGTCAATTTTGTTATATGTATATTTCTACTCTTATTTAGGTATTGTGTTTATGCAGCTCATTTAAAATGTAATGTAGCCAGCAGGAAGTATAGGTGGGGCTACCAGACTAGTAGAATTCTGGGAAGAGGAACTCAGAGAATGAGTTGCCAGGGAGATGCCATGTAGCTGCCAAGAAAGCAAGAAGCTCAGGCATCACCGGTAAGCCAAGACCATGTGGAGATATACAGAATTATAGAAGTGGGTTAATAATTAAGAGAGAGCTAGCCAATAAGAAGACTGAGCCATCTGCCAAACAATTTATAATTAATATAAGCCTCTGCATGCTTATTTTGGACTAAACAGGCTGAAGGACAGGGTGGGACAGAAAATTCCATCTACACAAGATCATAGATATCTAGGGCTATAGAGATGGAGCTCTTGTTTTTCCAGAGAACCCTAGTTTGGTTCCCAACACCCGCATCAGGTTGCTTACAACCATCTGGAACTCCAGCTCTGGGGGAATCAATTTTCTCTTCTAGTCTCTGTTGCACACACATGGCATATAGCCACAGGCACACACATATACATCAAAAAGTAAACTAAATAAAAAAATAGCTATCTGGGAGTTCCCTTTAACTATTGAATCCATTTTTATGTGTTTGGTTATGTTTATAACTAGGCATGGGGGATAATGCCTGTAATTTTGAGTTCAGAACATTAGCATGAATTCAAGCCTGGCCTGGGCTACTTAGATGATCTTGACTCGAAAAAGAAATAAACATTCATGATAAATAATTAAATAAGTTTTAGTAAATAATTTAAAATATCAGAATTCCCCAAAGGCACTTAGGATATTAACCTCTATTGGTGGCAGTTAATATTTCTTCCCCTGAAAACTTCTACTGCAGGAGAAGGAAGAAAAATCTGTAAGCATTTTTAGCCACAGATAATTTGAGCTGAATTTATGTTTTGTCAAAAATTATGATTTTTAAATATAGGGGAAGGACCTGGTGTCTCAGTCATTGTTCTATTGCTGTGAAGAGACACCAGGATCCTGGCAATTCTTATAAAGGAAAGCATTTGATTGGGGCTGGCTTACAGTTTTAGAGGTTTAATCCATTGTCATCATGGCAGAAAGTATGGCTGCATGCAGGCAGACATGATGCTAGAGAATTGGCTGAGAGTTCTACATCTGGATCTGCAACCAGCAAGAAGAGAGACACTGGGCAGAAATCCCAAAGCCCATCCCTCATGATACACTTCCTCCAACAAGGCCACACCTACTCCAACAAGGCTACACTTCCTAATCCCTCTCAAGTAGTACCACTCCCTGATGATCATGCATTTAAATATATGAGCCTATAGGGGTCATTCCTATTCAAACGACCATACCTGGGATGAAGTTTGACATTCAGGTTCAGCTTCATTGGATGACTAACTCTTGTACCTAATATTCTAGATCTAACACAGAACCCATGAATCACTAGAGTTCCAGTGTTTTAATGGGCAAAGGAAATGAACACCTTGAAAGGAACCGCTGATATATAAAAATAATACAAACAAATCTAACTGTGAGGACTTGGGCCATTCATGCTTCCTTTGATCAGCAATCAAGCATCAGACACTGTTCTAGATGAATACATGTGAAAAGATAACACCTATATTTTGCTTATTTTTTGAGACAGGATCTTGCTATGTGCCCTAGTTTGCCTGGAACTCATGGTCTTCCTATTTTAGCCTTGTGGATGTTGGAATTGCAGGTGTGTGCCACCACCCTAGGCTTTAGAAATGTTAAAAGTCATAACCCTCTGGGTTGCATTTATTTATGTGTGCATGTGAAGAGAATATGGAGGCCAGCAGACAGTTCCTAGTAGTCAGGCAGACTTGGCAATAGTCACTTTACCTAATGCCCCATCTTGCAAGCCCTGACTATCACTATTTTTAAAAGTCTTATGTAAATTTGAAATGTTTAAGCACTCAAAAGTATTTTTATTTTACTTTATTTTATTGAGGCAGGGTCTCTGTGTTATGTAGCTCTGATAGTTCTGGAACTTGCTATGCAGACCAGGCTGGCCTTGAACTTAACGTGATCCTCCTGCCTCTGCCTCCTGAATGCTGGGACTAAAGGTGTGTGCCACCACACCCAGCTTAAAAGTGGTTTGTAAAAAGCAAGAGGGAGGGCTCAGTGCTTAAGGGCACTGGCTGCTCTCCCGGAGGAACTGGGTTTGATTTCCAGCACCCACATGTCAGATGACAATTGTCTGTAACTATAGTCTCAGCCACTCCAGCGTCCTCTTCTGACTTTGCAATACCAGGTACCAAGTAGCAAAACTTGCAGACATACAACTTTTTTTTTTTCTGAAGTGTTGTATTATCCATATATTGCTGAAGTTTGTATCCTGTTTTGGATTTGGGTGCAATTTTAAAGAAAATATGAAGTTGGCAGATAAAGTTGGTTTAGTTTTGAATTGATGAGGATAAAATGAAAGTGAGCTGCATGAAGCATTGAAACTGTATGGAAAAGTCTCCAACAACGTGCATGTGCACATGTAATCAGCTAATAGTGATCTAGAGCAAATTAACCTAAACTGTGATTCTAATATCTTCACCTACAGTTTGTCTGCTTAAAACCAGAGATATGGAATGCACAGAAGACATATCCTCTGGCTTCCACTGGGTGCTCTGGACCACTCAGCTCATCCTTACCACTGCATCTGAGGGACCTGAGGGGAGTGCAGGGTATCTGAGGGATCTGAGGAGAGGGCAGAGCATCTGGACTCTTCAGCCTGAGCCCCAAGGCTCCAGAGATGGGAAATAGACTGTAAATTAGGGAGGGGTTGACAAAAAAATAAAGATCCCTCCCCTTAGCAGACGAACTTTGAGAAAGAATAATATCGATATCTTCAATATCTTTTAAAGATGTCTGTGGTTAAGCTGAGGGTACTGTCTATCACTGTCCTAGATGAAGCCTGGAAGGGCATCCAGCCAAAGGCACGGGGTGGGGTTAGGAAGCCTGGCTAGGGCTGACATGTAGTCAACACTCTCCAACAGGGCCATGATATGGCACAGGATTGTATCTGTCTGAAAGAGGGGAGATCCTTTCCTAAATAGTGTTATGCTATTTAGCTTTGTTTGTCAACTTGACATAACCTTAAAGGGAAACTCAGTGAAGAACCACTTAGATCAAGTTGGCCTGTTGGCATGTCTGTGGGGGAAGCATCTTTACAGCTAATTGACGTAGGAAGATAGACAAGATATAAGGGTAGATTATTTAATCTAATTTGAAAAGAAAAAAAGGAGGCTATAGGAATAGGATAAAAAGGCAGATTATTTATTATGACCTATTAGGACTCATGCTACAAGAAGACCCAGGCCACTGTGGGCCACACCAATGACTAGGCTAGGTCCTTACTATGTAAAAGTAGAGAAAGCTATTGGAGAGCAGGCAGGCAGCATAGGTGCACTTGTTTATCCTTTCTCTTGACTCTGGATGTGGTGCTGCCAAATTTCTCAAGCCAACGCTGCTGTTACCTCTCCACATGATGTCTGGTAACCTAGAATTGTAAGCTGAATAAGCCCTTTCTCCTCTAAAATTGGGTTTGGTAGAGTGCTTTGTCATAGCAACAGAAATGAAACTAGAACAAGAACCTAGATAGAGAGGGTCCCATTTCTTACCTACATAAATGCTTATGTGGGTGGGCTGTAGCTGTAAAGTGTGGCCACACGCAAATCCTAGAGTGCTAAAACTCAGAGCACCCATTGAAATTCCATGAAAGTAGTTTGACGATAAATAAAAGATGGCATTTCTTCATACAGTGGGTAGTAAACATATGGAACTCATTATCCTCAAGATGTTGCATAGTCCACAAATATAAATAGGATAAAGAAAGATTTAGATAAATCCACACTTGTTAGATTCATGTGAGTGGCTAGAGTATTGTTAGAAACACACAGGGAAAATGTCCAAATGCCTTCAGGAAAAATACCATGTTTATATCCACAGTGCCAGGCAGATCCGGGGCCACAAACTGAGCACGGTGACTGGCTACTCAGAGAAAACCTCAGGGAAATCAACCATACCCAAGGTTTCAAAAGCCTGGGTGTTACTCTGCTGTCATAGAGCGTTGTCGTCCTGTCCCAAGCTGTCTTATCTGATCTCAGAACAAGTTTTCCTCTTGCCTTTTCTTGATAACCTGAATTTGTGATGAGTGCCAGTTATTCCTGGGCTGTAAGAAAGTGATTTCTTAGCTCATGGTGACAACTGGGATGTGTGATGCCACAAACTCAGTTTGAGCTTCAAATACCACTTTTGGCCTTTTCCCCTGTTCCTCTGGCCTCTGTTTTCACTGTGGCAAAGGAGCTCTTCTTTCTCATGTGCAATAGAAGTTCCCTCATGTCCAAAGCCCCAGAGAACCAATACAGCTAACAATCTCAAGTGAAAGCTGTGGAAGAGAGGCACATTTGGTACCACTGTTGGCCTAGGATGCACATGAGTTGACTCCCGAGCTAAGGGAGCTTCAAGCCTATTCTGAAACATCTGAGGAATGTGTCTGTTTATTCCCCATCACTGAGCAGCTCAATCCAACCCCAGAGGCAGATCAAAAGCATCTTAAGTACAGACCTATCTCCAGACGTAGAAGATGTTATTTTCTTCTTCCAGCCCAAGGCCCACGTCTCCAATCATCATTTATTGATACCAGAATATTATTCCTTTCCCCAAAATGATGAATTTGAAAATTCATAAACTTGTTGCACTGTGCCCAGGAGGACAGTGCATTGAGTCACAGTAATCTAATCTCAGCTCATTAGCTCTACAAGGTCTAGTTCTTACCTTTTGTGCTCTTGTCTGTCTTCTCCTGACATCTCCTGGTTTTGTTTCTGAGCAACACTGCATACAAACCTCTAAATGAGTAAATGATACAGGCCCATCATAGTGTAAATTCCCACTTTGGAGAAAACTAGTATTTGTTTTCAAGAAACGTCATGTAGTCCTATGAGTACAAAACAGAAAATTGTTGTTTAACAACTCAAGAGTCCCCATGATTGATAGGCACTAGGCCAGAACAATGCCTTTGCTTTTGTTTGACTACCTATGTGACATGACTCATCTGATAGTTCTCACGAAATAAACGAGCTTTCTTTTCTAAAGGCAAATTTCAAATCCCATCTGTAGGTCCAAAACATTACCTATAATTCCCTTCCTCCTGTTTATTATTTCTGACAATGTTAAAGTGGAGTTTCAACTCAAGCTGCTTCTTAGCAGAGTATGAGGTTTAGTATATTCTAAATCACACTTTATTGTTTTGTTTTTTTATTCTTCAGCACCTCAAAGTTCAGGACATATCTTATAATCTACAGCTTCTTACAGAGCAGATTTGTCCCGTAGTTGCCTAGTAGTTACAAGGGAACTTGACCCATTCAAGAATAAGCTTGCTGAATAGACATCTCTCAAAAGAAGGTCTGTAAAAGGCCCACAAGTCTGTCAACCACACTAATAATCAGGAAAATGAAAATCAAAACCACAATGAGATACCAACTCACCCTAGTTAGAATGATGATCACCATGAGAAAAATAACAAATGCTGGCAAGGTTGTTAAGAAATAGGAACCATTTTTTGTGGGAATATAAATTCATACAGTTTTTTTGTTTTTTGTTTGTTTGTTTGTTTGTTTGTTTGTTTGGTTTTTCGAGACAGGGTTTCTCTGTGGCTTTGGAGGCTGTCCTGGAACTAGCTCTTGTAGACCAGGCTGGTCTCGAACTCACAGAGATCCACCTGCCTCTGCCTCCTGAGTGCTGGGATTAAAGGCGTGCGCCACCAATGCCCGGCTAATCATACAGTTTTTATGGAATACAGTTTGGAGTCTCTGCAAAAAACTAGAAATAGAATTATGATATGATTCAGCAACCACTCTACTGTTTATATACCCAAGAGAAAACAAGTAAGAGGGTGTCCAAAGCCTCTCATTGTCTGCACATTGTTCAGTCCTGGGTCTCTGTCGATGGTCCCATAGATTCATAGGAAATGGCACTATTAGGATATGTGGCCTTGCTGGAGTAGATGTGGCTTTGTTGGAGGAAGTATGTCACTAGGAGCAGACTTTAACGTCTCAGAAACTCAAGCCAGGTCTAGTGGCTCAATGCCTCTTCCTGTTGCCTATGGATCCAGATGTAGAACTCCCAGCTCCTTCTCCAATGCCACCATGTCTGCCAGGCTTCCCACCATGATGATAATGGAAGCCAGTCCCAATTAAATGTTTTCTTTTATAAAAATTGCTGTGATCATGGTGTCTCTTCACAGCAATAGAAACCCTAACTAAGGCATCCACCTACTGCAAAAGAAGCTTTTCTGGTGAAAGTTGAATAAGGCATTGATCTATGGATATAGTAATATGTCATTAGGAGTCACTTTATTGCTGTCTTCCTTAAGCAGAATAATAGTAGGCTCATGATCTATTTAGTCTCAGGTTCTTGGCCACCTTTGAAGTGTCAAGTATGGGTTCCATCTCATGGTATGGGTCTTAAATCCAATCTTAAAATGTGGTTGTACTCTTATAACATTTGTGCCAGTATACCTCGAAGGCAGGTTGCTTTTGTAAGTCATATGCTTTTTAGCTGGGTGATATTAGTGATTAATTGTCTCCTCTGGTAGCATACCAAGTACCTTGTAGCAACATGATGCTAGTCAATATGAGTGAGGCTTCTAGCTACACACCTGCTTCCTTTCCCCATGTTTGGTGAATTGAGAAAGTAGTATCTTCAGTGATAGGGCCTTACCTCCAGTCATGGAGAGTAACCAATAACCTTGGCAATAGCCTGCTGTGTTTGGGAGATCCATGGGACCCCTTTGACCAACAATTCAACAAGAGGTAACACATTCCTCTCAGAGATTTTGCTTGGTGGTAGAAGATATCAAGTTGAGGCATTCTCTCCCCCATTACATGGTGACTCTATTTAGAGTCCTTTCATGTATGTATATATTTTAGGAAGCTTCTACAGTAGTAGGTTTCCATGTGGTTTTTCAAAGGGCTATAGTGTCAGTTGCCCTTACTCACATTCCCTCATTATCTGTGACCATTTAGATTGAAGCACACATGTCAATCCAACACTTAAATTCTAACATCCACAAATAAGAGAAAACATGGAATATTTATCTTTTGGTGCCGGGGTTACCTCACTCAGGATGAGTGTTTCTAGTTCCAACCATTTGCCTTTGTAAATCTTATGTCATTGTTTCTTTTTTTTCTTTTTTGGGTTTTTTTTTTTTTTTTGGTTTTTTGAGGACAGGGTTTCTCTGTGACTTTGGAGACTGTCCTGGAACTAGCTCTTGTAGACCAGGCTGGTCTCGAACTCACAGAGATCCGCCTGTCTCTGTCTCCCGAGTGCTAGGATTAAAGGCTGCACCACCACCACCCGATGTCATTGTTTCTTAACAACTAATATTCCACTGTGTGTTATTTTTATTATCCATTCATTAGCTGACAGACATATGGGCTCAACATGATTACCTCCAGTTCATCCATTTTTCTTCATTACATGGCTTCTTTCTTCCTTATGGGTGAATAATATTCTCTCTCTCTCTCTCTCTCTCTCTCTCTCTGTGTGTGTGTGTGTGTGTGTGTGTGTGTGTGTGTGTGTGTGAGATAGAGAGAGAGAGAGAGAGAGAGAGAGAGAGAGAGTGTCATTTTCTTTATCCACTAATACACCACAAATGTCTTTCTAGTTACTCTTGTTCTTTAATGCTCAACTTGATTAGGACATAAATCTCTCAATGTGTACCTTTTGTCCATGTCTTTACAGGAGCACTGGTCACTTCCATACTTAAAAGTCAGTGGAACATCTGCAAAGGAGAAAGGTGTGAGGAAGGAGATAGCAGAATGTCGGAATAATATACACACATTTCAAACATTGTGCACAGTCAATAATGTTTCCCTTGTCACTGACACTAAAAGAAACAAACAATAGCATATGAAATAGCTATTAACAGCTGTATCAGTTCTTTGATGACCAGCAAGTTTTGTTTAGTTGTTTCAAATAGTAAGGCAGTTTGTTATTTAGACACACTTTCTAATCACCACTTAAGAGATTTATTGTTTTATGGCTCATATGTAACACATTATACTATCTTACACTTTAAATAATGACAGAATTTCAGTAGTCAGCTTTTTGCATATAGAACCTTTTATTTTTAGTACTGCTGATACCAAGAAAAATAAAACTAGGTCACTGACCTCATAACTTTAACATCTATTTTGCCTAGCTGGGAAACTTTTTAATAATTCTTGGTATTTAATTTGGTCCAGTTGGACAATACTGTTGGAAAGGGAGGTTTTGAATAACTTAGCACAGTTTAAAATACAAGGAGCCATGTTAGTTACTATCTGTGGTGAGATGAGAAATGGGATCCAGAGGATGGTTGGTGACCGTAGTTACTCTGCACCCTCTAAAACCTTTCTTTTGGACCAATAATTCAATGTGAACTGATGAATCTGATCAGTTAGAACAAGACTTAGTCCATTCTTGGGCCTCTTCCCCAGGGACACTTTGCCCTGTGTGTTATATCTTGGATGTGGAGGGATCTTAAGGCCATTAAAGCAGACCCTCCCACATGGTAATCTTTCCTCCCATCCCAGAATCTCACATTTCTTCCTCAGTAGCTTGGGAATGTGGAGTCTTAGAGAGTTCCTAAAGTCTCCACTATCCAGACCTTAGAGGAGGTAAAAATTACCTGTGGAGGTAAAGTCCTAAGAGAAGCTGTTACTGCTCCCTCCTAGGAAAACACACATTATAGAATGTGTAAGACAGAGGCTAAGAGGAGACAGGCTGGGGCAAGCATCCTACCCACTGAGCTGTCTCACCAGCTCACAGCATGTTAGTTGTTTTTGAAAGACTTCAAGTCTGTTAAAAAAATACAAAAACAAAAACAAAAAAGACAAAACAACAACAACAACAAAAATATACCATTAGTAACACAATTCAAATAAAATCTATAACTGCACTCTTGGTTTTTAAATGCTTACATCACAGCACGGATTTACATGCAAACACCAGTAGCAGAGACCACAAAGTGGTTCCTATGTGACCTTAACAGGAATGTTTTCCTTTGTCCTAGAAAATGAGGTACTTTGAGAAGTTTAAGTTACTGTTCACAGTGTTGCAACACAGACACACTCCAAGCAAATCTCCCTGCCTTGGGGGGAGTGTATTGTTGTTTTCTTTCACTTTCTACACTTGGTCAAAATTTTAATTCTTTTCAAATATGGAAATTGCCTAAATCCCTTTCTATGACCTTCAATACTTTAATTTCTAATTCTGAACTTAAAATCCATTCATAAATGAGCTATGGGATTCATTCGCCTCCCCCTCTTTCAAACTTCACTTTCCCTGAATTAGACCACACAACACCAACATTGACTCTGCCTCCTTCATGTCAGACCAGCTCCTAGACTAAGTGCTTCACAGCCAAGCCAGAAGAGAAGCTGGTTGTACCCAGAAGATACAGCTTCCTCAATGTCTGTTTCCACAGCTGCTTTCTCCGCAGAGGATACTGTTCAGTCCTGGGCCTGGTGGACCGTCGGGTAGGCAATGTGGTAGGCTCCAAAAAACGCACAGCTTAGCCTGGGGCAGTTTGGCCTGCATTTTCAGAGTGTGACATAGATGGGGGGTAGTTTTTAATTCTGTGACAAATAGCTGATAAAAGCCTTTAAAGAAAGAAATGTTTATTTTGGACACAGTCACTCTGTGTCAACCGAACCCCTGCCCCCACCACTAAGGGCCCCTCCTCTGGTGACCTGGAATCAGTCAGAGGGGCCTGGTACACAAAGGTACTAGCAAAGCATCTTGGACTAGGCTCCGCCTCCTGTCTCTACCACTTCCCCTTCTGATCAATGCCAGAAGATTGTGATAAACTCAGAGCCCTCAAAAAACTTCGTCTGCTGATGACCAAGATTTCAGCACTCCAGCCTTGGGGGACTTGTCAGATTCGAACCATGATTGACGCCATCTTTGCTTTATTTAAATGTATGCAATAAAATGACACATACCACCTTCTATGCCAATCTTTTCTAGTTTGAAATGCCAATAATTAGTTGAAGATCCTTCTCAAGCCTAGTTAAAAATTGCTATGCCCTTGTCTTTGCAATAGTGCTTCACTGCAGTTATTAATCTTTCTCTTGGCTGCTTGAAGTAGTCTTTCTTGGTACTTAGAAAATGTGAGAGACAAGCACAAAAAAGGGAGATCCAGAGGTCACCCCAAGAAATAGTTGAACACCAGACTGAAAAGTATTTCTAACTCACAGTTCTTTCCCCAAAGCTGTCTGCCAATAAATACTATTCTGTGACCAGCAATACCATAACACACAAGCAAAAATATCAGGAGCTGGGAAAGAGCCTGGATCAGGGTGTGGTGAAAATCCAGAGGCTATGTCCCTCCCTTCATGGTAAAACATCTGACCGACATCCTGGGGTTGGGTTAGAGGCCAGAAGTCACGGCAAGAAACTACTCTGATCCCACACAGGAGATCTGACTCCCTGGCAGCTGGCAACTTCCCTTGGTGCAATGGGTGTTCCTGGCACTCCATGAAAGCCCTCCTCCTCCCCCTCCTCTCTAGGCTCCTTTTCTCTCCTCACCCCCACACTCCACACCCTACCGCACACACCCTCCCACTCCTGCATCAATAAACCCCTCCCTAACGCATTCAGCACACACATGCCCCCCAACTTCCTCTCCAAACACACCCACGTACCAAACTCTCCCATACACACCCAGGCGGCACAGGGCAGTCTGTGGTGCGTCCTCTCCACAGGCCACAGAGACCCGAACGCTGGATCTACCACACAGCACTTCCTCTTCTACTTGTTATCATTATTTTTCCTTCACTGCATCTCAGCCCCTCCTCCCCACTCTGCTCCTTCAGCCTGGGAAAGTTGGCTCTCAATCTAGTTCTGCACATTTGTAATCTGTCACCAGCGGGAAAGTTGTCTGCCCTGCATGTGCTTGCCTGCTGTTCTGCAGGAAGGCTGAGGGGGGTGGGGAGTCGCTGGCAGGCTAGTCTATTTCTGGAAACCACAAAAACTCGTTTTCCCTCCTTAAATTACTAAAGGAACCATTCATCCCAGCTCCGGAATAGTCACCAGCTTTCCTCTCTCTGTGTAACCATGGCCAGGTCCCATCCATTCTTTAGAATCATACGGGTGTGTCCGGCTGTGGCACCCATCACATCCAATCGACCATGACCAACAGACTCTAACGGACTCTAAAGACTCTAAAGACTATACAGGCAGCAAGGAAAGAGGGGAAAAGACAGCTTATGTTTAATAGAAACTCATATACTTTCAGTGTACTCCAACTTCCTAGACTCTCACCCCTAATTTGTGAAATACAGGCCCGGTCAGCTGACAGCACACCCATGTTCCACAGCACCTGACAGCTTTGCTGGAACTTGACCTCAGTGATCTCCGGCTAATGATTTTCCACAGTCGCCTGGGTTTCTTGTTATTTTTCAGTGGAGTGGGTAATAGTTTAGCCTAGTAAGCATTAATGGAAGCCCTTTGTTTCTGGCATCTTTCATCATGACTTATTTTTTAATTACAGTGTGTGTGTGTGTGTGAGTGTGTGTGTGTGTGTGTGTGTGTGTGGTTGGTGTGTTTGTGTGTGTGTGTGTGTGTGTGTGTGAGAGTGTGTGTGTGTGTGTGTGTGTGTGTGTGTGTGTGTGTGTGTGTGTGCATATGCATGTGCGTGTGTGTCCATGTGTGCCTGTGTGCCTGTATGTGTGTTTGTACCAAGTAGAAGAAGTCAGGCAAGTAGAAGAAGTCAGAGGACAACTTGTGGGCGTTGGCTTTGTTCTTTCACCACATGTGACCCACAGAGTTAGGTAGTCAGGCCTGGTTGCAAGTACCTCTACCCACTGAGCCCTTTTGCAGGCCTAACTGACTCTTTAATTATGACTACAACTTACATAAAGTAAATATTGACTATTCTACACATTGCATTGGACAGTAAGACAAGCAAGCGCGACAGATACTGGTTTTGCTCGCTGAACATTTACCATCTTAAAAGAAAAATCAATGAGACAAGAAAGTATGTACATATGTATATGAGGAGCCAGCAGCAACAGTTTTGATCATTCTATTTGAATGTTAAAAATTCAGTGGGTCCAGAGGAGGGGGAAGTAGGGGAAGTGGGAGGAGAGGAGGGAGGGGAAATGGGATTGGAATGTAAAAAATAAATTAAAAAAAGAAAAAGAGAAAAATTCACTGGGTCCTGGCTTTCCCAAGAATAAAGTCATAACACATACATTGAGCATTTAAACATGTAGCATTCTGGATCTGACACACTTTTTCAACTCTCTGTTTTATTTATCTCACCAACATTATCATCTACCCACTCACTGGGATCACTGATTTCCCGGCACAGCTTGAGAGTCTTGAGTTCAGGGGTTCTGTCATTTCTGCACTGAATTCCTCCTAGTTCCAAGCGAATTGCTTTATTCCGACCTTACTGTACAAGCATTTTCTGAAGGGAGACTTCATGAGAACAAGGCAGGTGTGACTGGGACATAGTCAGAATTTGCAAGGCTCATGAATAAATAAAGATACATCTTTCCACCTACAGAGTTCCTGCTTTATTCCCACACAAAGCCATTGCCCTTTAAGCATTCTTATTCACAAACTGTTTTTCTGTTGCCATAACTGCCCAACCATGTTAATATGTTTCATGGCCTTAGGATGTACGCATTCAGACTCACATGTCCAGGCTTCACATAGCCCCAGACTGGGTTTTACCAGAGTTGCTAGCACCACTCTCTCCAAAACATACAGGCAGCCTGTCGGCACTGCACAAGCAGAGACTGGAAACAGAGCCTGAGCTCAGCACTTAATCGAGGGCATGAAGGGGACCGGTCTCACTAAATCTCTCTCTCTCCCATCCTCATTTTGTTTCTTCTTCTTCTTTTTTAATCTAATGAAAACAGTGTGTCTTTCCTGAAGGACTCCCTTCCATCGGTGAGCCATAAGAGCTGGAGCTGGGCCTAGCCGTCATTGTCTCCGGGACCATGGTTCAGATACTGTGAATCTCAGTCACAGATACAACCTGATTCAACAAGTTGCCAACAGTTTTCCATGGCAACGAACATTGTAGAAAGTTGCTCAAGCTAGGTGTGGTGCATACCTATAATCCTAGCAACTGGGAGGGAGTGGTGAAGGTTCAAGGACTCAATGTTCAAGACCAGCCTGGGCAGCACAGCCAGATGCTGTTTCAGAAAAAAAGAAAGAGTAAGCCATAAAAGTAAAAATGACAAAATAATGTAAGCTGGAAACTCTTCATGAGAGGTGTGAAAATGTAACTGAAATTTGCAAATGGTATTTAATAATTTCTTTAATTATGAACTTTAATTCCTGTCTTTCCCCAAAACATCATTTTTTTTTTGGAAGACATGATTACATAAGTTAGTAACTGTAGTTTTCCCACTTTAGCTAGCCCTTAAAAGCCCTAGCCAGGAATGGTTCATTATGAACAATGCAAGAGAATATTTTTGAACACCCTACAGACTGACTAACCATTTTTCTAAATGGTTAGTCATACTTTAAAATTTAGAATAATATGTTACAAGGAAAGTGTAGGGTTGGTCAACTGAAAAAAGTCAATTACAACACACGTTTCTCAATTGACATAAAATAACTGAGTGGGCTGCCCAGGAGGGAGGAGGAGCCTTGGTTGGTGATAGAAACTGACAGTTCAGGGAGTTCCGTAACAGAATGAAGCCAACGGAGAGGAGGTGGTGGGAGACGGCCAAGGGGAGTAGTAGGATTTGCTTCGGAGAAGTGAAGCTGTTGCAAAGTTTATTTTATGATCAATTCATGACTCCACAGATGTCCTTAAGGCCAGTGAGTTGCAGGCTTTAAATGGGTGACTGAGTGGTCCCTGGACTCACAAGGACTGTCTAAAGTCGGAAGAGCGAGGAGGGAGAATGAATGACGATGTTAGACTTTGAGAATGTCCAGTTTCCTGGATCTAACTTATGCCAATATGACTCACTCCACTTCACTTTTGAAACCTTTTGTTTCTCTTTCATGGCATGTGAGTTTCAACTCTTCTCTGGCATCTTAGAGCCAAGAAAAATGGAAAAAGCCGTTCAGTTCATGAGCTCCCTAAAGAACAAGCAAGGGCTTGAGCTGTAAACTGCACTACCTTGGACTCCATTTGTTTCCATTCATCTCACAAGGTTTTGCTGTAAGAACTGATGAAGACTGAGAAATCCACACAACAAGAACAATGGCAATCACAAGTAAAAGTAGGCCATAAACTCCCAGGACAAGAAAAAGAAATAAAGACAGGGAGAAACACGGGGTTTCAATGCCTGCGCTGCAAACCCACTTTCATAAGACAAGGGATTTCACAGTACAATTGTCCCCAGCTATCCATCAGGATATACTCTAAGATTTCCACAGAGGATTCCTGAAGCTCTGAATGGTACCAATTCCTATGTGCATTATGTTTTTCCATATACATTTATCTAGGAGAATGTTTACTCTGTAATAAGATTAGCAGCATTCTTATTTTTGCATTTTGCAGCTGTTATTAAAACTAAAAGTAACTTTACCACAAGCAAGGAATACAGAGACAATCTTTGTAAAGTTGGTGCAGCTACCAAGTAACCAACAGGTTGATCACATACACTGTGGAAACACAGCACATCAGGCTGCTACATGCTCTGGGTGGGACAGACTGGAACAGAGCAGGATTTCTTCACTACATTCAAAACAGAACACAACTTAAAACCTATTAATTGCTTATTTCTGGAGTTTTCCATTGATCATTTTTGGAATGCAGACCATGAAATCCCAGATAAGAGGAGACTACCATATTTTATTTTATTAATAATGTATATTATTTTAATAATAATAATAATAATAATAATAATAATAATGTATAAATAATAAAAATAATTATTATTTTAATAATAATGTATACAAATGCCTAGCACAAAGATGCTTTTACGGAATGGTGGGTACTGCTGCACAGGATGTAGTTTGAGGCTGGACCATTGGTTCAACATCACAGATGTCCTTATTCTCAAGGAATCCATCAGCAGTCAGGAATGACTAAGTTATGTTGGAATGGCAGAAGCTTCCAAAAGCTTACTTTACACTCAGTTTCTGATCTCTTGCAGGTTAGTTGGGTCTCTGCTCTGTGCCAGCCTTACTCAGAAACTCAAGTGTAAAGAGCTGGTATGAGCTGGAACATTTTCAGTCATGTGACAATGCCTGAGCATGGTATATTACCCCAGTCTTCATCTTATTACCTAAAATCTGTCACAAGGCCTTGCCCATTTTCAAAGAAAGATGTTTCCAACGTATACAAGATGGAACAACAGGATATTTATCAACAGCTTCAATGATCACCACTCAATCTTATGAGAGAAATGTTTGTAATCTCAATCTTAAAATAAAAGAAACAGGAATCTGAAGTACAGAGAAATAAGTATTTGTCTACAACACAGCTATACAGGTAAAGTGACAGAAGACGGCATTAGACCCAAGTCCTGTTTTATCCTATGTTATTTCCAGTCAGACTCCAAAAGCTGAAAATATTCTACCTACAAGGATATGTGAAATTGTCTCTCAAAAACATTTATAGAAAAATATGCACATTTCCTTTGGGGACCAGGCCATAGCAGTCTTCTCAGAAACCAATTTAGAACAAAAACTGAGAGCATAAAATGTTCACACGCCCTTTGACCCAGTAATCCTGATTCTGGGAATTCATCCTCAGAGGATCGTCGTCCATGATTAAAAATGAAGTATACTCATGAAAAGTCCTGTGGCGGCAAAGAATTGCAAAGAGTCTACACTTTCAACAAGAATAGTTAAACAATACAATTTATGGAACTTAAAGTGGTACTTTGTAATTATGAAGACCATGTGACCATGATTTAAAACCTCTCGATGGAAAAGTAAGACACAAAAGGAAGTTGTTCTGGCTGTTAGTAGGTCACACCTATTCTGTATGTTTAGCAGA